GTCTTGAGAAGGAGCTGCCGTCCACATTTCCAGCTGTAAGAACGGCGACGAGCCAGGATCAAGACGTCCATGGAAGTGTCCAGCGAGCAGCGAGAGCCCCACTTCGAAGAAGATCTGCGCTCGACCAGCGCTGGTCATCACAGCGAAGGGTTTTTTTTTCCCGGAAAGGGCGCCGGCCCAGGGTTCTCTTTTAGTTGGTAAACTTGTCCCCGGTGCCTCAACTGAGGTGGGCCGGCGGATTCTTTCCCTGATGAATATCGAGGTCGAGGAGGGCCGGCGGATTAAAATTTGAGGATGTCTCATAAATCACAGGGTGCGGGCCACTCTTTCGTGTGTTGAGGATGTCTCGCAGAGTTACCGAGGATGTCTCGAGCGAATCGCTTGTTTTGTAGAACTTCAGGGATCTGGGCGCACCAGAGATTTGCCTTCTCGAGGTGCACGAACCCGTGTGTTTTTACGTATGTGCCTGTAGATTTGCCCTCTCCAGGTGCACGAATCCATGTGCTTTAACGTATGTGCGTATAGATTTGATTTCTCCAGGGGCGCGAATCCGTCCGCTTCGGAACTGAATCGGAACTGAATCGGATCTTGAACTCGAGCTGGTTGAGAGCCCCGCAGGTTTCGATTGCGACCAGCTCAAGGGCGAGTTATGCGTTCAGACAGCTCGGGCTTAAGATCCAAATCAGTTCGGCCAGGATTCGGAGGCCACGGGCGAGTTGATCCACAACGCAATTGAGCACAGCACAGTTCAGCGCAGCATGGCCAATTCCAAGTCAGCACAGCACGGCACAGCACAGCCCCTGGCACAGCACATCGCCATCGACACCTTCAGCATTGCAAGTGCCCGTCGCCCAATACGGTGTCGTGAAAACGTTTCCATGCATGCGGTTCTATATGCGTTTCCACGACCACACCCCAGCACGACCACACCCCAGCACGACCACACCCCAGCACGAACCCACACCAGCACGACCCCATCCCCGCACGACCAAACCCCAGCACGACCACACCCCAGCAGTACACCCCACCCCAGCACGACCACACCCCAGCGAGACCATCACCCAGCACGACCACACCACAGCACGACCTCACCACAGCACGACCACACCCCAGCACGACCACGCCCTACCCCCCCAGCACGACCACCCCCCAGCACGACCACCCCCCAGCACGACCACACCCCAGCACGACCACTCCCCAGCACGACCACAGCGCCTTGGTTGAGTGGTTGCCTGTCGTCGTGGAATGTTTCGTGGGGTGTCTCGTGGACTGCTTCGCGGGGTGTCTCGTGGAATGTTTCCAGGAAAACGTTGGAAATGGTCGCCCGTGTCTCGTGGAATGTTTCGCGGGGTGTCTCTTGGAAGTGCCCGTCGTCCACTACGGTGTCGTGAAAACGTTTCCATGCATGCGGTTCTATATCCCTTTCCGGGTTCGTGGGTCCATCATGTTTTCAGCGAGAGCCACGACTATTTGGACACGAACCTTCTTCCGTGTAATTGTGGGAACATGTTATGACGAATGTGCGCGGCGTTGGGGTGAGGGCCATATTTGAAACGGAGCCGCCCGCCATCCGTGCAAATGTGGAAAATGTTGAAGGCATATGTGCGTGGCGCTGAGGCGAGAGACAAATGTTGAGAATGACCCCCTCCATCCGTGTAGATGTTTGAAGCTTTCAGGAAGAATGAGCGCAGCACTGAGGCGAGAGCCACACTAAGCAAACACACTCCCTTTTCATCCGTGTACTTGCTGAGACAATTAAGACGAATGTGCGCGACGGTAAGGCGAGAGCCACATTTTGAAAACGATCCCCCTTCTATCCGTACAACTGCTGGGGGGCTTTTCGGACGAATGTGCGCAGCGTCCAGGCGAGAGCCACATATTGCAAACCACCCATTCCGCTTGAAGATGCTAAGACACATCCGCGGGGCGCTGGGGGCGGGAGCCACGCTTTGGAAGCCACCCCCCTCCGTCCGCGCGACTGCTGGAAGCTTTGAAGACGAGTGCGCGCGGTGCTCATGCGAGCAGCACCTCACCACCCACCAAACCACATCAACCCAACCCGAAGGCCTCCATTTGCCCTCCATTTCCAGTGGGGGGGGGGGGGCGGGGAGCATTGAAAAAACACGTATGAACCCATACCCCCCCAACCCGAAATTTGGGCCTTCGGGTTGGGTTGGGGTGGTCTGGTAGGCAGTCAACACCAGCACCACCGTCCAGCAACATCGCCGCTGGCGTGGCCTCGGCATCACCGCCTCTCGGCGGGGGTCCGTCCGCCCGCCTCTGCGCCCCGCGCCGTCGGCCGGGGCGGCGTGCGGGCTCTGGCTTCCCTCTCCTCCTCCTCCTCCTCCTCCTCCTCCTCCTCCTCCTCCTCCTCCCCTCCTCCTCCTCCTCCTCCTCCTCTCCCTATCTCCTCCTCCTCCTCCCCTCCTCCTCCCTCCTCCTCCTCCTCCTCCTCCTCCTCCTCCTCGGCTCTGGCTTCCCTCCTCCTCTCTTGGCCTCCCCGTCGTTCACCCGTGGTACTCGTGTCTTGAAAACTGATTGGACAATTGCAAGCTGCACGCTTCGCGGCCTATGGGACGTTTGCAAGCTGCAAGCTCCATCCGCACGCCTATTGGACAACTGCAAGCTTCGCGGCCGTGTACGGGAGCAGGCCGGCCGTCTCAGTCGAGACGCTTGCCCGCCCTGCGGGCACGTCTTGTGGCCACGCGATGTGCGGTTGTTATCACAGGAAAGGGAGGCTGGAGGAGGAGGAGGAGGAGGAGGAGGGAGGAGGCAAGGAGGGAGGGAGCGAGGGAGGGAGGGAGCGAGGGGAGGAGGAGGAGGAGGGGCGGAGGAGGAGGAGGAGGAGGAGGAGGAGGAGGAGGCTGAGGAGGAGGAGGATGAGGAGGAGGAGGAGGAGGAGGAGGAGGATGAGGAGGAGGAGGAGGAGGAGGGGGAGGAGGAGGGAGGGAGGAGGAGTAGAAAGAGGAGGAGGGAGGGAGGAAAAGGAAGGTATAACAATGAGGATGAGGGCGATGTGAAGGGTGATGGTGAGGTGTGTGGTGTTGATGATCGTGTGTGAGGTTATCATTGCTGTAATGGGTATGAGTTATGACGATACTGTCGGCGATGACTGCAATGATTGCGATGGTGGTGGACACAATGGTGAATACAAAGGGTGATGACGGTGACGATGATGACGCTACTGTTGACGCGGGTAATGGTATGGATGATGTTGGCGATGTAGTTGGTGAGGATTGTGGTAAGGATGAGGCTGCTGCTGAGATTGAGGATGCTGTCGACGATGACGATGAAGATGACGACAACGATGCTGATGCTGATGATGACGAATCTGATAATGCTGGTGCGTACAGCGGTGGTGGTGAGGGCAATAATACATATGATGATTGTGGTGCCGATGGTGGTGGTGATGGTGGTGATGCTGACGATGTCGAGAACGATGCTGAAGACGATGATAATGAGGATGGTGGTGATCAAGATAACGACGATGGCATCATGGTAATAGTTTGTGACGATGAATGCGGTTCTTAATCACGACGGCTATGATGAGCAGGAAACACAGAAGAGGAGGACAAGTAGGAGGAGGAGAGGAGACAGGCCTGGAGCAGGGGGCGAGGACCTGGGAAAGGAAGGGAGGAGGGAGGAGGGAGGAGAGAGAAAGGAGGAGAAAGGAGGAGAAAGGAGGAGAAAGGAACAGGGGCAGAACAGGGAGCCGGGAGCGAGGGGGGGGGGGGGGGGAAGGAGCCGCTGGCCCCCTCTCCCCGTGGGAAGCACGCTGCTTGGGCCCTGGCACTCTCGGGCTCTCTCTGGGAGGGGCCGCCGCCCAGGGCATCCACCCCGCCGCTGCTCCCAGAGGGGCCGCTGGGAGCAGGGAGCCCGGTCCTCCCGAGAGGCCCTCCGAGTTTGGATCCGAGGTCGGATCGGGTGTTCTGGAGGCAGGACAGGGGTGAGCATTTTCTTTGGGTGGAGGGCAAAGGGTGAAATCTAAAATGCCGTTTCGTTTGATTTTCGAGGCTTGAATCTGCAAAAGGTGAATCACCAGACGCATTGATTTTCGAGGTGCGCAAACCCATATGGATTTCACACCTAAGAAAATGCTCAGAAGGGGTGGTGTAAAGGGGCGTGGTGCCATTATTGAATCTGGCGATGTAATCTATCGTCGATGGCATCACCATGTCCGCCACACCCCTTTCTGCCGCGCCCCTCTCCGACGCCCAAAAGTTTGGGTCCGGGGGGCTTCGGCTCGCGGCGTTCGAGGTTCTCGAGGTCCTCGAGGTTCGAGGTTCGAGGGCGTGTTCGTCGGTTCTCGGCGGTTTTTCCAGCCTCGGGGTGCCTCTCAGGCGCTGCGCCTCGCCAGGGGCGTGCTGTGGGGCCGGATCGCCCCGAGCGGCCGCCGGAGAGTCGAGATAGGGCCCCCAAACGCCAGACCTCCAACGTCTCAAGAAGCTCGACGCGGAGGTTCTTCTCCGCCCTCGGCCTTCAGGGGTCGTCGCTGGGCCCCGGGACCGTCATGACGAGCTGGCACCGGGGAGAAGGTCCAGACCTTGTTCTGGGGTTCCCGCCTCGAGAGCTTCACGGCATATCTGATGTCTGGGTTTATCCATTGGTCCCAAAAGCCTTTCCAAGAACGAGGGCCCAGGCCTGCCCGGGAGGCTTCCATGAACAGTTGTTGTCCGGGTGTCTCAGGGGTGTCGTGGAGGTGGGCTGCGCTCCCCAGACATGATCGTGTCGCAAGAAGATCGGGGCCGGAGTTTTGTTCGCTATTTTCGACTCCTGGAGACCCTCGCCGGGCCCTGGGACCGTCAAACAAGGACTCAGGATGAGAAAAGGGTCCTGGGGAAAGGGTCGGGATTTCCGGGGACGCCGTCTTGGGAAACATCAGGACGTCGCATGTCTGGGTCGACATAGGGGCCCCCAAAGGTCTGGACCTGCTCTCCTGGGCCAGCTCTTCCTCCCGAGTCGTTTCCTGCCGGGCCCCAGGCCCGCAGACCGCGCGGAACTTCCGCCTCGAGCTGCTCGAGGCGTGAGGGGTCTGGGCCCCCCCTCCGCAGCCGCTGGAGCCGAAACTGCCTCCCCCGTCCTCGGCGGGCCGACAGGCCGACCAGCGCGCGGGCTGCCCCCATGGCGGCTTCGGCGGCACGGGGCGACACGGTGCGGATGCAGAAGCTCCTGGAGCTCCTGGAGGCGCTGCGGGGCGTCGATTCGGCTGTGCGCCGGGAGGCGGCGACGGCGCTCGGGGAGCTCGGCGCCGCGGAGGCCGTGCCCCACCTCCTGGAGGCGTTGCGGGGCGGCGCCGGTAGGCATGGGCGCCAGGAGGCGGCTGTGCGCCGGGAGGCGGCGGGGGCGCTCGGGAAGCTCGGCGCCGCGGAGGCCGCGCCCCAGCTCCTGGAGGCGCTGCGGGGGGACGCCAGTTGGTTTGTGCGCCGGGAGGCGGCGGCGGCGCTCGGGAAGCTCGGCGCCGCGGAGGCCGCGCCCCAGCTCCTGGAGGCGCTGCGGGGCGACGCCAGTTGGTTTGTGCGCCGGGAGGCGGCGGGGGCGCTCGGGAAGCTCGGCGCCGCGGAGGCCGCGCCCCGGCTTGGAGGCGCTGCGGGGCGACGCCAGTTGGTTTGTGCGCCGGGAGGCGGCTCGCTCGGGAAGCTCGGCGCCGCGGAGGCCGCGCCCCGGCTCCTGGAGGCGCTGCGGGGCGACGCCAGTTGGTTTGTGCGCCGGGAGGCGGCGGGGGCGCTCGGGAAGCTCGGCGCCGCGGAGGCCGCGCCCCGGCTCCTGGAGGCGCTGCGGGGCGACGCCGATTCGGATGTGCGCCGGGAGGCGGCGGCGGCGCTCGGGAAGCTCGGCGCCGCGGAGGCCGCGCCCCGGCTCCTGGAGGCGCTGCGGGGCGACGCCGCTGGGCCTGTTCGCCGGGAGGCGGCGACGGCGCTCGGGGAGCTCGGCGCCGCAGAGGCCGCGCCCCGGCTCCTGGAGGCGCTGCGGGGCGACGCCGATGGGCCTGTGCGCCAGGAGGCGGCGAGGGCGCTCGGGAAGCTCGGCGCCGCGGAGGCCGCGCCCAGGCTCCTGGAGGCGTTGCGGGGCGGCGCCGGTAGGCATGGGCGCCAGGAGGCGGCTGTGCGCCGGGAGGCGGCGGGGGCGCTCGGGAAGCTCGGCGCCGCGGAGGCCGCGCCCCAGCTCCTGGAGGCGCTGCGGGGCGACGCCAGTTGGTTTGTGCGCCGGGAGGCGGCGGCGGCGCTCGGGGAGCTCGGCGCCGCGGAGGCCGCGCCCCAGCTCCTGGAGGCGCTGCGGGGCGACGCCGTGGGATGTGCGCCGGGAGGCGGCGGGGGCGCTCGGGAAGCTCGGCGCCGCGGAGGCCGCGCCCAGCTCCTGGAGGCGCTGCGGGGCGACGCCAGTTGGTTGTGCGCCGGGAGGCGGCGGCGGCGCTCGGGAAGCTCGGCGCCGCGGAGGCCGCGCCCCGGGCTCCTGGAGGCGCTGCGGGGCGACGCCAGTTGGTTTGTGCGCCGGGAGGCGGCGGGGGCGCTCGGGAAGCTCGGCGCCGCGGAGGCCGCGCCCGGCTCCTGGAGGCGCTGCGGGGCGACGCGTTGGTATGTGCGCCGGGAGGCGGCGGGGCGCTCGTGAAGCTCGGCGCGCGGGACGGTTGGAGCTCCTGGAGGCGCTGCGGGGCGACGCCGATTGGTTTGTGCGCCGGGCGGCGGCGGAGGCGCTCGGGAAGCTCGGCGCCGCGGAGGCCGCGCCCGGCTCCTGGAGGCGCTGCGGGGCGACGCCGATTGATGTGCGCCGGGAGGCGGCGGCGGCGCTCGGGAAGCTCGGCGCCGCGGAGGCCGCGCCCCGGCTCCTGGAGGCGCTGCGGGGCGACGCCGCTGGGCCTGTTCGCCGGGAGGCGGCGACGGCGCTCGGGGAGCTCGGCGCCGCTGAGGCCGCGCCCCGGCTCCTGGAGGCGCTGCGGGGCGACGCCGATGGGCCTGTGCGCCAGGAGGCGGCGAGGGCGCTCGGGAAGCTCGGCGCCGCGGAGGCCGCGCCCAGGCTCCTGGAGGCGCTGCGGGGCGACGCCGATTCGGATGTGCGCCGGGAGGCGGCGGCGGCGCTCGGGAAGCTCGGCGCCGCGGAGGCCGCGCCCCGGCTCCTGGAGGCGCTGCGGGGCGACGCCGCTGGGCCTGTTCGCCGGGAGGCGGCGGCGGCGCTCGGGGAGCTCGGCGCCGCAGAGGCCGCGCCCCGGCTCCTGGAGGCGCTGCGGGGCGACGACGATTCGTCTGTGCGCCGGGAGGCGGCGAGGGCGCTCGGGAAGCTCGGCGCCGCGGAGGCCGCGCCCAGGCTCCTGGAGGCGCTGCGGGACGACGCCGATGGGCCTGTGCGCCAGGAGGCGGCGACGGCGCTCGGGAAGCTCGGCGCCGCGGAGGCCGCGCCCCGGCTCCTCGAGGCGCTGCGGGGCGACGCCGATTCGGATGTGCGCCGGGAGGCGGCGGAGGCGCTCGGGGAGCTGGGCGCCGCGGAGGCCGCGCCCGGGCTCCTCGAGGCGCTGCGGGGCGACGCCGATTCGTCCGTGCGCCGGGAGGCGGCGAGGGCGCTCGGGAAGCTCGGCGCCGCGGAGGCCGCGCCCAGGCTCCTGGAGGCGCTGCGGGGCGACGACGATTCGTCTGTGCGCCGGGAGGCGGCGACGGCGCTCGGGGAGCTCGGCGCCGCGGAGGCCGCGCCCAGGCTCCTGGAGGCGCTGCGGGGCGACGCCGATTCGGATGTGCGCCGGGAGGCGGCGGCGGCGCTCGTGAAGCTCGGCGCCGCGGAGGCCGCGCCCGGGCTCCTGGAGGCGCTGCGGGGCGACGCCGCTGGGCCTGTTCGCCGGGAGGCGGCGACGGCGCTCGGGGAGCTCGGCGCCGCGGAGGCCGCGCCCAGGCTCCTCGAGGCGCTGCGGGGCGACGCCGATTCGCCCGTGCGCCGGGAGGCGGCGAGGGCGCTCGGGAAGGTCGGCGCCGCGGAGGCCGCGCCCGGGCTCCTGGAGGCGCTGCGGGGCGACGCCGATTCGTATGTGCGCCAGGAGGCGGCGAGGGCGCTCGGGAAGCTCGGCGCCGCGGAGGCCGCGCCCAGGCTCCTGGAGGCGCTGCAGGGCGACGCCGATATCGGATGTGCGCCGGGAGGCGGCAAACGCTTTCTGGAAGTTCGGCGCCCTCGAGGTCGCGCCCGGGCTCCTGAGGATGCTGGAGGAGGACGGTGATTCGGAGTTTCGCCGAACGGCGGCCAAGGTGCTCGACAGGTTCGACCCCAAGGACCTCGCCTTGCAGCTTGTGCGCACGGTCAGGAACAGGGACATGGGCATCCCTTGGCGCGAGACCGCGGCTTCGGAGCTGGCCAGGCTGGTCACCAAAGATGCCGCTGTGGCGCTGGCGCTGGCCGACGAGCACGCCGACGCGTTGCACGACGCGGCGCAGGAGGAGGAGGTTGGCAAAGTCTTCCGCGACAGCTGCGCCAAGGCTGTGGGTAAGATCGACGCGGCGCACGCGCAGGCGGCCGACGACGCAGCCAGGCACGGCACAGCTGCGCTGCCCATCGACGGGGCGGCGGGGCGGCAAGTCGCGATAGGGCTTTGGCGACGCAGTGTTCTGCATTGCCAAGCGTTGCCGTGCATTCGTAAGCTATACAACAACTTTCTATTTTTTCCAAAAAAACAAATCGGTGTATACGCATAACTCAGCATAGCATAGTATGGCGTTGCATCGAACAGCACTGCATCGCATCGCATTTCATACCATATCATAATTTCGCGAGTCGCAACATAGAATGGTATGTCGTTTCACGCCTTGCAACGCATTGCCGAACACTGCGAGTGGAGAAAACAACGCGCCACAGTGGACCATCGTTGGACATTTGCATCGGCCCTCGCAATCCCATGGGGACCTGATTACCATATCATGTGTGGGGATTGAATGATGGGCTCGCTGCTGCGCCCTGCAGCTATGCTACGCTGTGCAAATTGCGTTCATTGAGGCAGCCCCCCCCTCGCGTGATGAAAACGAGAGGAGAATGAGGAGGAGAAGGAGGTAGAGAGAGGAAGAGGAGGAGGAGGAGGAGGAAGGAAAGGATGAGGAGGAGGACGAGAAAGAGATGGGGAGGAGGAGGGGGAAATGAGGACGAGGAGGGGGAGGAGGAGGATTGGAAGGTCTTCAGTAGGAAGATCTTCGCTGAAGATCTTCGCGCTGAGGCTTCAGCGGGGAGCCTCTTGGGTTTGGTCGGGGGTCTTTGGGCCTGCCCTGAGATCCTTTGGGGTTGTCTCGGAGGCAATATCCGGCTTCTCTGGCGATTCAGCGGCTCAAAAAAAAGAAAAACGGAAAGATATTAATTTAAGATCTTCGCGCTGAGCCTCAAAGAGTGGGAATCCCCACTGTAGATTTCCATGCTGAGGCTGAGGCTCCCAGCGTAAAGATCTTCAGTGTAGATCTTTCTTGCTGGGGGCCTCTCTGGTCGTGCTGGGGGCCTTTGGAACTGCTGAGGAACGTTTTGGGTGGTCTCTTGGAAACATTTTTGGGATGTCTTGGGTGATCTGGGAGGCCCCGACACACCTCCAGCGTGGAGTTCTCCGCTGTAGATCGCTGTGCCGAGGCCTCCAGCGTGAAGATCTTCACTGAAGATCTTCGCGCGGGGATCCTATTGGGCTTGGTCGGGGGCCTCTGGGCCTGTCCTGGGAGCCTTTTGGGCTGTCTTGGAAGCCATATTGGGCTTCTCTGGCGACCTGGAGGCCCGAAGAGGTCCCCAGCGTGAACACTTTCACTGAAGATCTTCGCGCTGAAGCCCCAAGCGTGAAGATCTCCACTGAAGATCTTCGCGCGAGGAGCTGTACCTGTACTGTGACCCTTAGGGCTTTGTCTTGGAGGCCAGATTGGGGTTCTCTGGCGATCTGGAAGCCCGAAAATATCCCGATCCTCGCGCTCAAGGCCTCAAGCGAATATGTACCACCACTACCGATTTCCAAGCCGAGGCCCCCCAGCTTAAAGGTCTTCAATGTCGATTTTCCTGCTGTGGACCTTTCGGGCCGTGCTGGGGGCCTCTGCATGGGAGCCTTTTGGGTCGTCTTGGAGGTCATGTTGGGCCGTCTTGGGCGATCTGGGTGCCCGGGGAGACCCCCAGCGTGGAGATCTCCGTTGCAGACCTCCGCGCCGAGGTTCCAGCGTGAAGATCTTCTCTGAAGATCTTGGGCAAACAGCCACGTGCGTCAGAAGCCATGCAATGTGGCACAATGTTGTATCAACCATTGCCATGCGCGCATGTGGGAGAATAGTCATAGACATGCGTGTGCTACGTGAAGAATTCGAGCGTACATGCTTTGATGGGGGTTTGGGCGTCTTGGGGTGCATCGCGTTCACAGTTAGTACGTGCGCGCGCAATCGCCCAGTTGCAATCAGACAAGCTACCGTACTCTGTCTGAGCGGGAATGAAGGGGGGACCAGGAGAGGGAGGAGGATGAGAGAAGGGGTTGGGGAAGGAGGACAAGCAGGACAAAAGGTAGGAGATGACATAGAGGAAGATGATGAGGAGAAGGAGGAGGAGGAGGGGAAGGAGGAATAGGGAAATGATTGAGGGGAGGAGCATGATGAGGAGGACAAGGACGGGGGGGGCACGGAAGAGAAGGTAGGGGGAGGGGGGGGGGAGGAAGGGAGGAGAAAGGACGAGGGGAATGATGAAGAGGAAGGGGAGGCGGATGACGAGAGGAAAGCGAAGGAGGGGTGGTAATGAGGAGGCGGGGGATGAGGAGAGGAGAAAACGAAGTGAGGAGGAGGACGCGGAGGAGGAGGACTCGCGGCGTGCGCCAAAATCAAAGCAGCTTATCGAAGCGGGATGGCTGGAGCTGTGCAATAGGCGGTTCGAGCCCGAACGCATCAGTCTTCATGTTCTGGGATTCGGACGTTCCCAGAGGAGGAGGAGGAGAAGGAGGAGAAGCAGGAGGGCACGAAGGGTTCGATGAGTTCGCAGTTCTCTGGAGAATCGTTCGAAGGCCTTCAGGGAGCGCTCTCGTCGGTGCGGCTTGACGCAGCTGGTACAACTTGATTCGACCCCTTTGAAATTATCTGGTTGGGATCGGTTGCGTTGCCCCATCGTCGACGACGACGGCGACGACGGCACCGGCAACGCCGGCGGCGACGGCGGTGACGGTGACGGCGGCGGCAGCGGTGGCATCGACTGCGGTTGCGATTGTCATGACAAAGAAGACGAACGCGACGACGACGACGACGACAACCGCAACGACGGCGTCAACGGTGGCTGGCAGTCGGTCGTCGTCACCGTCGTCATCAAGTCGTGGACGTGGGTCGTGGACACCGTCGTCGTCCGTCGTCACATTCCGCACCCGTCGCGGTCGTCGCCGTTGTCGAAGTGGTTTTCGTCATTGTCGTCGTCACATGGAGCTAATGTTTGAGCGACGGCTTCCATGACGCGCGACATGATGTTTGCATTCACGGAGTTGCTGATCTCCGCTTGCTGCGCATCCACCAGGGACTCTACTCTTCTAAGGTGACCTCCCACTGCCGCCGCCACGCTTCGGGGCGATGGCTACGTAAAGGTCTGATCGAGAAAAGGGCGGGTGCAATCTGCCAGGACGACGCCGTCCTCATGAGCAGCATTGGCGGCTAACGCGGTGCACCGGGAAGCCCGAGCCTGTGCGTAGCGATATGATAAATCACCCTATCGCCACGCACAGGCTCGCCATTTTTTTGGAAAAGTGCATTGTTCCAGCGCCGCCCCTCTAGTCAGCTCAGGGACGTCCCCGACTGGGGAGCGATCGACCGAGAGTTCACATGCCACGCTCTTAGGTTGAAGTGGAAGCTGGGGCTGGCACGGCGAATCGACGATGTTTGCATGAGGTTGTGGGAGGAAGCAAAGGAGGCGCTGGCGTTCGGATGTCTGTCGACGTCGACGCGCAGTTCGAGCGTCACCCAGATCTTGAGAGCTCGGAGTTTGTCCACGAGGATGCTAGACAGAGCGACAACCCTTGAAGCCGAAAGAATGCGACGCTGACTCTTGAGCTCCGTGCTACGATGACGATGACGAGGACTACTTCGACGACAACGGCGACGATCGCGACGAGTGCGACGGGCGCGGAGTGCGACGACGGACGACGACGGCGTCCACGACTCTCGACCACGACTTCATGACGACGGTGACTGGTGACAATCGCCCGCCCGCCGCCTTTGACGCCGTCGTCGCCGCCGCCATCGTCGTCGTCGTCGCGTTCGTTTGGGGTGCTTGCGCGTTATTGTCTGGGCCGTTCCATGGCTTTTGATCTTTCTCAAGTGCATGGGCGGGGCTGGGCCATGGCCCCGGGCAGCGCCGCCACACTCGCGGTGAGTGCCGCGGTGGGGGCGCCGGCTGCCTGGGCCCGGCTGCGCTGGGCGGCGAGCTGGCTGGCGGCGCTGGTGGCCGCCTCGACCAGCTGCCTGTCCTGCGCGCGCCACGCGCCGCAGTGGCCCCCGCCCGCGCCGCCGCCGCCGCTGCCACCGCCAGCGCCGAACGTCGGCGCGGTGGCCGCGGCTGTGGCGCAGGAGCTCGGGCCCTGGCCGGTGGCGAACTCCTCGCCTGCGCCGGCCACCTGTCCCTCGGCCGCCGAGGTGGCCGCGGCGCTGCTGGAGCGGCTGCCGCCCCTGGGGCCTGGAGAGGCCCGCGCGGCGCCGTCCGTGCCCGAGGCAGGCCCAGCCTTGGGCGAAGGCCGTCTCTTCGCCTTCATCCTGGCGGGGGTGGGGTCGCTTGCGGGGAGGGAGCGATCCTGGTGAGCGGCTGCGCGGTGGCCCGAGCCCGTCGCGACGATCGCCCCGCTCCCCCGCCGCCGCCGCGGCCGGACGACCCTGGCCGCGGACGGCGCTCTCGTCGAGGTGGGGGCGTGGCGCCGTGAGCTCCGGCCAGGGCGACGGGTCGGGCTGCGGCGCCCGCGCGACACGGTGTGGCACGAGCGGGTGCTGCTCTACCTTGCGGGGGGCACATACTGGTGGGTGCTGACGCCAGACGCCGATCGGCACGTCGAGGACGTGTCGGGGCCCGTCGGCGACGGCTGCAACAGGGCCTTCGTCGTCGCGCTGGACGGCACGGCCCCCGCCTTGGCCCACGGCTCCTTCTACCGTTTTGCGCGGCCGCTGACCTGGGAGGAGCTGCGCAGCGCGGTGCTCAGATCGAGGACCGACCAGCAGGAGCACGCCAGTGACGAGCCCCTGGATGACCCCGCGGAGGTCTACACCTGGGAGGGGGTCTCTCGCCCGTTCGGGCTCCTACGACGTCGCCTTCCGCTGCGGGGGGCCAGGGGCGCTGTCGGGGGGGCCGACGCCCCTCCTGGTGGCGCTTCGCCCTCGGCGGCGATGGTGAGGGAGGCCGGCTCCTGGCAGCTCGTGGAGGCGGCCCCCGTCGGCGCGGTGGACTCCTTCAGGGACAGGCGCCCGAGGGAGCTGCTCGGGCTGGTCGAGAGGGACCTGCCCGCCGACGCCCGCGTCAGGGGACCTCCGCTGCCGCCGCCGGCCTTGCCACCTGGTGGCGAGGCAGATCCCTCGCGCGGAGCTGCCGAGGCCACGGGCCCCAGCGCTGACGACCAGGACCTGAGAGACAGGCTGGGGGTGCCCCCCCGGAGGGGGCGCGCGAGGCGGACTCGGTCGACGACGCGAGGACGCTGTGGGTTCAGCACGACGAGCAAGGGGGCCGCCACAAGCCGTGGCGCGAGGTTGTCCGCGAGATCAGGAAGTACACGTTCAAGGACTGGCCACTCGAGGACGGCCTCAGCACGGTGGAGCACATGGCGAAGCGCTGGGAGCAGGACGGCGGGCCACCCTTGCTCTGGTTGGACCTGCGGGCGCGGGGCCGGCCGCTGAGCCAGACGGACCGCAGCTACATCGACATGAAGCGCCTGCTCACGGCGATCTTCTATGCGGGAAAGCTACGACCAGGTCAATTTGCCCAGCATGGCCAGCATTGAGGTGTTGCGCCGTCGGGTGTCGCAGATCGTCGAGGCCTACTCGGGCGATCCCAACAAGCCCCCGAAGTGGGGCGGGCTGCGGCACTACATGGGCGCGGCAGGCCCGATGGACGTTATTGACCCAGCCTTGAGGGCCGCATTCTTCCGCCGCAACAAGGAGGAGATGGAGCTGGAGAACTGGAAGAGCCGGGCTGCCGGGCTCCCCGTGCCCAGCCCTCTGGCGCTGGAGGCCGGCGAGGGGCCCCCGAGCGGGCCCTCCGGCGGCGCCGACGGGCGCGGCCGGGGCCGCGGCGACGGCCGAGGCCGCGGCGCTGACGGGCGCGGTCGCGGCGTTCCTGGGGGCGGCGGCGGACGCGGGGCGGCTGGGCGCGGTGGGAAGCTCACCGCGCCCGAGGGGGCACGACCGCCCCCGCCGGCGGAGTTGGGCGCCCCGCCGGTAGCGCACAGCCCAGTCGCGAAGTCGGGGTGGACCTGCTATCGGCGTTCCCCTTGCCGAAGCTGAGCGACCATGAGAGGGACTGGCCAAAGCTCCAGGGCCGTGGGGCTGCTCGGCTCGCCAGGCGGGCCTGCCAGGACTTCGACGAGGTCGTCGACGCTTTGAATTGGTTGATGAACCGCACCCCCACAGGCGACAAGCCGAATTTTGACCAGATGAAGGTGCACGCGCGGATCCTTGAATGCGTGGCTGAATGCATGCCGCCGATGGAGACCGCGATCCCTTCCCCGCGAGCGGCATTTTCTGAGCTGCTGCACGGCCGCAGTGTCTATGACGAGTCGGCCGGACGGAACGTCGGACGTCTTCGCAATGTGGGGCAGATATATTTACCTAAGACCGCGGTGGGAGGGCCGCGGCTGTTAGACATCGCTCCTGCCCATGCACGCCAGTATCTCGAAGACGGTTTTTCTCGGATGCTTCTAGATGAGGCTAGTCTACGTTGCCGACTTGATGAGTGCGATGTCATTCCTCACTGGGGCCCCTCCCTGGCTCGCAACCGTGGGCTCTACGTTCGCCCAGTGAAGCTCCTCTACGCCGAGGGCCTCCTGGTGCTCCTGGACGAGAGTGAGCGGCGCGAGGACGTCGGGATCTTTTTCGTCGCCAAGAAGTCAGACCAGCTGCGACGCTGGGCTGCGTGCTGGACGGAGCCGCGCTGACCACCAGGCTCACGGCCAAACGCTACTGGCGGGCGCGGCAAGGTGCGTTGTGGGCTCTGGACTGCAGAGCCCTGCCAGGCTGGACGCGGGAGATCGTCCTTGGCCCCTGCACCTACTGCGCCATGTGCAATCGCGACCTTCTCTCGATCTTGAACGCGATGTACAAGTTCATAGCGGCACACTACCAGGAGGCCGCGCCGCTCTGGCCCACAGCGCGGGCCGAGATGGTCGCCTTCCGGGGCTTGATGCCCCTGCTGCGCAGTGACTGGGCGATCCCGTGGTGCCCGCTGGTCTGCCTCTCCGACGCGTCGGAGCATGGCTACGCGGTGCGCGCCTCGTTGTTTGAGTCGGCCGCCGCGAAGGAGATCGGGCGGGTGCAGGAGCGATCCCGCTTCCGTCGCCTGGGCGGCCACTCCGCTCGGGCCCACTTCTTCGCCAGCAACGGCATCGTGATGACCAGCGAGGGGACGTTCAAATACGCGACCGATCTTGATGAGCATGACGAGGTTGCGCCCCAGACTCAGTGGGGGCTTGACAGAACTTTCAAAGAGATGGCAGCGGAGATCTTCTCAGGGTCCCGCTGGACAGAGATAGTCGCCCGCGGGTGGCTTAATACTTCGGAAGACATCTTGGTCTACGAGTCACGTGCCCTCTTGCGAGCTGTAGAGATTGCGCAGCCTGTCACCGCGAGAGGGCGAGCATGTCGTCGTCATGAGTGACAACCTGCCAGCAGTACTGTGCTTCGAGAGGAGGAGAGCAAAAAACAATATTGTCCTCTGATGCATCCGTCGGGCTGTCGCCCTGTGCCTCTCCCTCAACAAGCGCCTGCACGTGAGATGGGTTCCGAGCGAGCTCAACCCGAGTGACGAAGGCTCTGAGCTGTGCGACCCGAGCCACGACCCCAATAAGACCCCGGTGCACTCTTGGGAGGCTTCTGAGGACTACGGCAAGATACCAGTGAATCGTAGGCTACACCAACATGTACACGAGCAAGATAATGCACGCACCAAGACGATGCACTACTGCAAGCACGTGGATACGGAGAACTGCAAGCACGACAAGTTTGGCAAAGATGAGAGCACGAACAAGCACACAGTCTTGGGCTTCACCAGTACCTCAGCTACTACAAGCACGAGCCCCAGAACAGCTCCGCAGGCCCTCAACGAGCCCACCGAGACCCCTAGCACCCGTGATCCTCAGGACCTCCACGAGCCCCAGAGGAGCCAGCCAGCCGCCGTCGCCACCTCGGCTCCCCAGTGCGCCCCCACGGGGGACCTTTGGCGACCCGCTGCGGCGGTGGGCGATCGCAGGTGCGACGGTCAGCGTGCCCATGGCGTCTGGCCCGCCGACAGGCCGCGGACAGCGTCGCCGCCTGGCAGCGCCGCTGCCGGCAGGAGGCAGCGCGCCCGCGCATGCCGCACCCGAGCCGCTTGCGAAGCGTTCGCGGGCGCTGTCGCAGGGGCCGGAGGGCCTGCCGAGCGAGCCGCCAACCAGTCGGACGCGGGCGCTGGGAGCGCCCCGGGACGGCACGCGGCAGCGGCTCACCCTGGCCCCGCCCGCCTCGAGGGCCGCGGCGCGCGACCTGGAGGCGAACTGCAGCCCGACGGGCGACAGCGAGGGCGAGAGCGACGCCACGACCGTGGCCAACGAGGCGGAGGCAGCTCGCACCCGGCAGCTCCGCCAGACAGCCTGGCATCGCGCTCGGGCAGTCGCCCGGGCCAAGGCGTCGCCCACTCTGGCGGGGCTGACGCCGCTGGAGCGCTCGGTGGTGAGGCTGGGCACGGAGACGCGGTACCAGGTGGGGCTCGAGGCCTTCATCGACGCCGCCGGGAAGCGCCAGCTCGTCGTGGACAGCGAGGTGAACGACGCGCTCGTGCACTACATGAACGAGCTATACGAGTCGGGCCACCACTCGAACAAAGGCGACGCGTTGCTGTCGGCGTTGCTGCACTTCCAGCCCCAGCATGGCAAGCTGGGGGGATCGCGCCTCCCTCGGGCTTGGCGATGTTTGAAGGGGTGGCGCCGGAGATGTGGGCGGCGCACGAGGAACCCGGTCGTCCGCATGATATGGTCAGCGGTCGTCTGGGACCTCTGCTGCCGGGGGCACTGGCTCATGGGTTTGCACATTCTGTGGATGATCGTGACGCGCCACCGCCCAGGCGAGCCGCTCACGATCCAGCGCCAGGATCTCATCCAGCCAGTAGAGGGGGGCTCGAACGATTGGGGGGTGCTGCTGTTCCCGCAGTCGAGGGCGGCCACCCGCAAGAACCACATGCAAGACGGGGATCAGCCCCACCAACAAGCTTTTCCCGTGGCTGCCTCGGGCGATCGCGGCGCTGGCCCCGGGTCCTCCAGAGTCCTTGCTTTTCACGCACAGCTACCTCGAGCTGGTCGCGCAGTTCAACATTGCGAGGACGAGGCTCCAGCTCGGCAGCTTGGTGTTGCACCAGTGCCGACACTCGGGGGCCTCGCTGGACCTACAGAACCGCCACCGCGATCACATGGAGCTGAAAAAGCGAGGCGGGTGGCAATGCGAGAGCTCGCTGAAGAGGTACGAGAACGCCGCCAAGCTGAACCTCTCCGCCGCCCGCCTGCTTCCTTGGCAAGTGGCTGCCTTCCGAAAGGCGGACCAGCAACTCGAGGCGCTCATCTTCGGCCGCGCGGACGCCCTGTCCTTTGCGGCGCCGTAAGTCAGCGCCAGTACTTCGCCGACCTGTTCTGCGGCGAGGGCGGCGTCGGGAAGGCGCTTGCGCGTCGCGGCTATCCTGCGCGACTCTGGGACCTTCGTTACTGCCAGAGCCTGGATCTCACCGATCATGCCGTGCTTCGCCGCCTGGAGGAGGATGCCCAGAACGGTTTGATTCTTGGCGCCGCGATCGCAACAGAGTGCACCAGTTTTTCGATAGCAAGAATGCGAACTCGTTTTATCAGAACCTCGTCGCAGCCCTGGGGAGTGACAGACAGGTCAGATTTCAGTGCGAGGGATCACGCCGCACTGCAGCGCGGCAACAAGCTGCCCAGGGCAACCCTCCGTATTATTCGCGTGCTAGATTTTTGCCAGATACCTTGGTTTTTTGGAAAACCCTTACAGCAGCATGACGTGGAATATTCCTGCGTTGCGGCGGCGGGCTCAACGCGCGGCCGCTCAGGTCTCATTAGATTTTTGCAGCTACGGGGCGCGATGGCGCAAAAGGACCCATTTTCTGTTCGGAAATGTTAGCGATGCGTGTCTAAGGCCCCTGCGCAACCGACTCTGCCGTGGCACAGGACGCTGTTTTTTTTTTATAGCGGCCGCCCACGCATCGAGTTGAGCGGCCCACACCCCAGCAGAGGCGCCCCGTGGGCAAAGGTGGCCGAACCCTATCCTGTAGGGTTGTGCCGCGACCTCGCCGCCGCTCTCATTGCTGCTAGTCATCAGAGAACACCTTCTTGCTTCGGGAAGTGATTTGGGATGTTTTGTGGTGGCCGTCTTGCTAAGCACAGACCGCCACGCGGCCACGCCTCCGGCTGCTTCCGCTGCCGGCCGAGCTGCGCCTGCCGCGCCGCGTTCTTCGAGACAGATTTCTTTGCTCAAAATGTTGGGAATGGAGCCCTACCAGACATAGGAGTGCTTGCACGTTATTGTCTGGGCCGCTCCATGGCTTTTGATCTTTCTCAAGTGCACCCGTGGCCTGCCCTCCGCCATGAACGTGCGCTTCTCGCTGTCCTTCAGCCTCGAAGCAGTTTTGTGGTGGCCGTCCTGCCAAGCACAGACCGCCATGTGGCCACGCCTCCGGCTGCTTCCGCTGCCGGCCGAGCTG